TACTGGCGGTAAAGATGGATACACTTCTATTGCGGATTGTTTCAGAAAAATCATTAAGAATGAAGGGTTTGTTTCTTCTATCACTTTACCTGAAACTTGACAAATTTCTAAAGCTGTCTTGAAAATCAGGTTCGGCCGATTATATCGAGGAGTACTTCCCCCAGTTTTGGTTGAAGCACCAAAGAGGGCAACCAAATTTGCAGCAAAGTATGCTGTCTTTTTGTTTCACTTTCGTTATTCTTTCTTCTGGGTTCACCTCTACGAATGTCGCAACTCTATCTGTTATTCTTTGTTGAATCATTGATGCTGATGTCCGTCTTTTCCAATAGCGAACAATACACCACTCTATATCGAAATCTCTTCAATATCCCCACCGGCAAACCCATGCCTCATCCTCTAGTCATTTTAACAGGAGTTAGTGCAGGTTGTACTGAGGCTTTTTTGGTTGTCAGCTTTGAATTAGTCAAAATCAGGTTACAGGACAAAAATAATGTAGGTCCATTCAACTAATTATTCTGACCTTAACTTTTACCAGAGGGAATGCGAAATTGTATATTGTGACTAACATTCGATTTATTCAAGGCTGGTAAATACAAATCGACGATGGATTGTGTTAGCAAGATTCTTCGCGAAGAAGGTATGACCTTTCACTTTATTCTGTATCTTCCCTTCGCTTTTCCCCCTTTCTATTTGCTTCGCTCCTAGGCTGCTCGTTGTACCGCTGGATCTATAAGTTAACTGTACATCAATAGGGCCAATGGCTTTCTTTAAGGGATTAGAATCTACACTGTGGCGTCATGCTACATGGAACGGTGGTTATTTCGCGGTCATTAACCTTGTCAACCAGAGGTTGCCGGAGACAGAAGTACGTATTTTAGTTTAGTTCAACCTTGTCATCTGTTTTTCTTCATTTTCACTGATCATTCCTGATTTTTTCTCCTTCCGGATTAATTATTCACTCCAACGTAGACGAAATCCGGCATGCTCCTAAATAAATTTATATCTGGTACCTTCGGTGGTACTGTCGGTACCATGCTTAATACACCGTTTGACGTTGTCAAAACTCGTGTACAAAACCAAACTGCGAGCCAAAATCCCAAATACAATTGGGCCATTCCAGCTCTTGGGACAATAGCTAGAGAAGAAGGGCTAAGAGCTCTATATAAAGGATTTGTTCCTAAAGTGTTAAGATTAGGTCCAGGTGGAGGTATTTTATATGTTGTCTATGATCAGGTGAGCGAATTCATCAAGAAGAACGTGTTATAATTGAAATGAGGACGAGGGAAAGAAGGATTGGACAGATTGTTGATTTTTAATCGATAATATTCATAAGAAAACTTGATTAGTTATTGAGTTTAGATATTTTTATCTAGTATTTGTTCTTTAAAAACGTAATAAATTCGGCATCATTCCCAACCCGGCATCATGCAGATGTTCAAACTGATTCCCAAAGCAAGCAGGAGCGCGATAGAGTATATGCCCACTGTCTTCCCATAATACAAATCGATCATTTCTACATTTACACACATATACAGAAACTTAGCATTATCATGGCAGATCAAGATCCTCTGCTCTCCATCACAAACGATACAACTTCCCTGCTATCCCCGTTCTTAACCAAAACTCCGCTATCTCATAAACTTCTTTCGAAACCACCCTTCCGTTACCTCCATGACATCATCATTGAGATTATCACTTCAACGGGATATCAAACTGACTTGTTTAGTGAGACCGAGATGAACAGCGAGAATGTGAAAGCGAAAGAAGACAAATTAAAATGGTTGGACAAAGTGGTGGCTGTTGTTGGTGGGTTTCCTCAGACGTTCCCTCAATCAATTATATGAACCAGATCAAACTATTCTTTATCCTCACAATTAATGAAATATCAACGATTTTACCATGTCATATCGCTTGGCATACATTGACAACGGATTGTGGTGGCTAATTCTCTTTCTCATTTGCTAGCCAAATCCACCAACGACCAGGTCAAAGCCAAACCATCTAAAATTATAGCAGGATTAGAGCCCGAAGAGACAAACAAGCTGTTGCAACTGTTTGCGCAATGTGTACATGAATTCGTGAAATCATCTGTATGTTATCTTTTCCCATCTGGCTACTCTTTGCCTGTTCTGGCATACCCGTATTGTCTGCTGCAAGGTCTTAAATTGTGTCGTTGCCATATAGATGGTGGATCTCAAGAGATTGAAGTGTGAATAATAATATATTTGCCTTTCTTATCATGCTTCTAAACAGGGATCGCGAAAAGTACAGTCAACAGATACACCCGCGGCAAACCTTTCCTCCACCGCCCATTCAATGCGAGAAGAAACAAGTAAGGAAAAAGAAGATAAGAAAGATGTTGCTGATCCAGAAGTCAGAGGAAATGTGGCTAGCGCAAAAGTGAGGGATCAAGAGAAACTTAAACCCGGTTTGTTCGTCGTTGTTATTTTATTGTACGAGTTATTCATTCGTCGGGCGTAATAAGAGGACCCTTTTGTGGCTTTCCTACGTCGAGAATGCACTACTATCTGGTTATCAGGTCTGGTGACATCCCGCTAACAGATGATTTTAGAAAGCGACAAAGATTCAGAAAAACAGAAACGTTCAGGATCCAAGTCTGCTAAATCGGGTAAAGACACCGGAAAGCAGAAGGAACGAGGGAAAGATTCAAGTAAAGTAAAGTCAAGCTCAAAATCTAGAAGCACAGAAGGCGAAAAAGCCCGAGGTAAAATGTCTTTCCCTTCACAATTCTACTACAAGTCATGTTTCCCTCAATAACCTTGTGGTCCGCACTCAGAGTCGAAGGATATATCGAAACGTTCTTCTTCCTCCTTGAAGGAAAAGGAAAAGGAAAAAGACCGATCGAAACGAAAGGATAAGTCGTCCGAGGAGGATGGCAAACAAAGGAAAAAACGAGATACCGACGATCGGGAAAAACTAGACAAAGAACGTGATCGCCGAGACGGAAGAGAACGTGAGAGGGAAAATGCCGCGAGCGCCAAGAGCGACACTAGGCGAAGTGCTGAAGTATTAGATGGGGGAATCGACGATGGCGAGTATTTTTGATTCAAATTGCTTTCGATGGTTCTAGATGCCTTAATGCTTGTCGTTCGATTCATTGTTCTTTTGGGATATCAATTAACAATCCTTTTCTCGTACAGAGTCGTTGTCACTCGGCGTTGGCCAATCTCAGGAAATAATACAGAGTAATCAGGATGTTGCGTCTTCATTAATTGCATTGAGTGAGAATATTCCGAAAGACCCCGAGGAGAATCGTAAAGCGATCAGCGAGGAGGAATATAGGAACGAAAAAGCCAAGTATGATCCTGAGCCTGGTACTTATCAATATATCCCTCAAGCCGTTTTTGTCATTCAGCTAACACAGTCACAGGTTCGCTGACCACTTCAAAGTTGGACATTCATGAACGAAAACCACCTTTAGGTTCTTCAACGTCGGCATCAATACTTACCTCCGAGTCGACGAGAAGACCAGCGAGACCTTCAACGGCGAGGGCACCACCTCCAAGGATTCGCAGCGCCAGAGTCGTAGATTTCGAAAATGATGCTAGGTTCGATATTTCTTCTCGCTCATTTTCGCTTGATCCGAAGATTCATCCAATCGTCGCTCTTCTTATTAATGTCAAAATGCATTTTCACAGGTACCAAGCTTCACAACCACAAATCATAACCGACATTCGTGCCGGCCAGAACATGGACGAGGACGACAATGACGATCAGTATGTCGTGATGGCGCCAGAGTCAAACCAGAATACCATTCCTGCAGTAGGAAGAAACTCGAGTGCCACAAACAATGAGAACGACGGACAGCATGGTAAGATGTGTTAATGAAGTCAGCCATTAGCCGCGACAACTCTGACAGTTAAATCAAGGCATGCTCGTTCGAAAAATGCTCGAAGTAAAAAAAGAACTCACTGAAAACACCACTGGCAGTGATTCTCGGCCGTCAAATATTCATCAATCACGAGAAATGGAAAAAGATGCTGCCAAGAAAGAGGCAAGTGAAACCTTTTACTTTCCCCTATCCTTGATTCTTATCATTTTCCTTATTCCTAACTCAAATGTGTCAATGTTGAATATCAATTCATCTCCACAGATCGAGTCTCTTCGAACGCATATCCAGTCATTATGTCAACATACTAATCCCTTAGGCAAGATAATGGATTACTTGGCGGAGGATATGGATTCCATGACCAAAGAGTTAGAAAGCTGGAAAAAAGAAAATCAAAGATTAAAGGGCCTAGTAGAAGTAGAGACGAGGTAGGACAGGATAGATCTTTATTCCTTCATTGCATAGATTTATTGATTCTCGTCGATTTCGTGTACTCTTGTTGCCGTGAACCACTGCCTATATCTCAAACTTAACTGATTCCTTATTGTGACAACCGCAAAATACAGAGCTACGGAGGATACGTTGTCCATTCTACAAAATCAGCTGAAGGAGTTGGAAATTTCCATTTCAGAACAGGTGAATCATTCGGTTAAATTTGTTACATCACGCAATACAAATTTGGGATTAACCTGACTATTTTTACAAAAACAACACGCTAATCAATCTCTACTTTTTTGACCAAAGCGTAACAAAATAAGCGAGAAAAAGTCAAAAGTACTGGAGAATGAAGAGAAAATATTCAAAATGGTAGCTACGATCGCGGAAAGTCGTTAGTTTTGAAACTCGATTGATTATGAAAGCAACGTATGAAGCGGTGGGGAAAACGGATAAAGTGAATAGTTAGACAAACATAATTATTATTTGTGTTCAAGAAGTGACTGGTTTCGATGGTGGACGAAGTAATGGTGGTGTAATCATTGTAGATAGTGACACTCGAGTGTTGATGCGAAATATATTCGACGATAAAATTTCCTATTGCAAACTAGTGTGTTGTTGTTTTTGATCAGTTAAGATATAAAATTTGGCAAAAAAGAGAAAATGAGAGAAATTAAATGGATATAAAAAAAGGATAAGCAGAGAAAAGAAAAAATAGCGTCGACTGGTTTCGATCCAGTGACCTTAGGGTTATGAGCCCTACGAACTTCCACTGTTCCACGACGCTGATGTTCAAAGATTGCTAAAAACTATATATGACGTTACAAGTTCACTTTAAACGTAGATTCCTCACTTCCACACTGTATACAATTTATTTCATTGCTTGATATACCAGCCGTCTCAAGGGAGCTTCAACTACAGTAACAGTAGGCCACAGTCGGGTGCACCGAACTATGTAATGAATTCATGGACTGGGTATTGCTGACTGCTGAATACATTCCGATCTCGCACTTAGTAGTAGCGTCGACATAAATTTGTCATCTCCCGATTTTGCATATACCAATGCGATTATGCATCTAAATTACAAATTCTAGAATGTTTCTACAATGTTCCTTCAACGACGACGAGTCACGACTCACGTCATTATTATTTAGTCATAAATCTCATGATCTGGGACTTGGATCGAACGAAAAATGGCGGATTTGGAAGATTGGATCACGTCAAGACTCTAGACTCTAGAGAGGTAGAATCTAGAGACGATCTTAGTAAGACCGAAGTGTTAAGTCATGGAACTGTGGAAGGTACAGTTTGATCACAAATCATGAGATCTCGGGTGACTGGTGAGAGGATCTCAGAATGGTAGTTGGAGTAATGGGTTGGGGATTCCGATGATTCCCGGAAAGTCAGTTAATCAAATGAAGGATCAGTGGAGTGTAATGAAAATTTTCATTTCATTTAGAATTAGAAAAAGTAGGGGGAATTTCTAGTTTAATTACGTTCGATTTAATTTAATGGAGCGGAGAGGCGGATTCGATGAAAAACTTTTTTGTCATTGTCACACGTTCCGGCGCCCTCAGGAGTTAGGAGTATGTACCATTGAGCGTGCACTGATTTTGGACCGAATTAGAGTAAAATACACTGCTACGGAAAGCAATACGTTTTGGGGGCAAGAATGGATGATGGAAAAGTGACGTAAACGTGTTTTGGGTTTTGGGCTAGAAGCTTTGAGGTGAGTGCAAGAGGTGGGGGCAAGGGTGTCAATTTTTGAAACACAAATTAAAGAGTTGATTGTGGAATGTTCATTTAGTTCATTTAGTGCACATTTGGGCGAAATCGCAAGACAAAGGGATGCAATTAATATAGGTCGATTTTGGCGGGACTTGAATCAGCGGTGAATGGAGGGAGTGATGGCACAGGAGATGGCGAGTGTCCAGTGATTGTTCCTTGTCTGCAGTTTGTAATGGTATTAATAAACTAGGTTCACTGGTTCACTGGTTCACAGGTTCACCTGGGGGAATCCGCACGCTGGATGGCGAGAGCATTTCGCGCAGATTCGTGACGGGACGCGTCGCCCATTGGCTGAGGGGACAGAGAAGCGGTACTGTCGGTTACGTAACGTTTTGGGCAAATTCGTTTTGTCTGCTGGGAGGAGTTTGGTGACGGCGACTGTTGGCCATTGGTGCTGTGGAGATGAGCGATGCCGCAAGCGAGTATGGGGATGAGTGGAGTGGAGTAAGGCAGTATTCTTCTTGTGTATTGTCGATGTCCTCGATGCTGCCGGGCAGCCAAGGGGGGCGGGGCGTCATTGGCAATTTGGCAGCAATTTGTCGCTGGCATTCTCGCGGGAGATTGCGGAACGTGCTGGACTCGAGTTCCTCTGTTGCGTCATTTGGCAGAATGCGTTTTTAGCATCGCAGAACAAGGAGTCATCGTAAGAGGAGTCATTGCAATTTGATCGGGTATATAAACTGCCCTCCCTCCTGCCCTCGCCGTCGATATCACTCTCAGAAAGCAAGTAATATAACTCTCTTCTTGACTCAAGACCTAGTCTAGTCCCAAGAGTCCATAAATCCCTCAACCCCCACGATAAACTATACCAAATCTATATCTCCCGTTCCTCGTGTGTAGAATTACCAGAAAAAGCATCCATTATGAACGACGATTGGTGTCTCGTTTGCGATAAAGCAACTTCGGTATGTATTCATTGCTTACTTTCTGTCTTTGCGAGTTGTGCAAAAAATTATCCCTGCTACTTTTGGAAATCTTGGAGTGTGAGGGATTTCTCCGTTGATCCGCTAGTTACCAAATTCTCGGCTGCTTGGCCTGCTCATTGAACATGATCCAACTGACAATTCCAATTTCTTTCTATATTTTTCTCTTTATATTTTCCCTATCTTGAATAAAATATAAACTCAGGGCTCTGTATGGTGCTCCGTCCTTTGCCAAAGAGTGGATATTTCTCGGTCAATACAAAATCTCCCATCTTGTAACGGCGGATCATCGGCATCAGCTTCAAACTTATCCTTTCCTCCATTACGATCAACCTACTTTGTGCCGACATCCTCTATATTCAACTACTCTTCCTCCCCTTCTTCTAATTCCTGTCATTCAGAATCATCCTCTGCCAATTCGTCCCCTAATACATCGCCTACTCTCTTCCCTAGCAACATTCCTTCTGCCATACCGTCATCCTTATTGCTGGAACCCAGTGATAACAATTCAGCCAAAATGAATTCCTCATCTTATCAGTCGATACCGTACCACTTTCAGCATCCAACGTCGGGTATCCCGTCAGCTCATTCGGATAGCGTCGAAGAAAATACACGACAGAATGGATTTTACAGTCATAAAAGTTCGAGTAAAAGGAGTCGGAGTAGAGGAACTGCGAAATTCTTCATATAGTGCGACACTCTGTTAAGCATATTCTTGTAGATAAAATGATCAAGATCATCATTTATTGCATATAATTATGCCGACACAGGCGCTGTATATTTCCGAAAGAAAAAGTCTCAATAAACATTTCGCAAAGCAACTCCAGTTACAGGTAGTTTGAATTCCAAGGATTCATCTTTTCTTATGCCATCGGCTCACAAGAGGCAAATTATCAAAAGAGGAGGCGGTACCTGTCTCGTCCAAATCAATCTGAGCGTATAACTGAAACTTTAGAGTCATTCAACACATCTGACATTGGTGCGGCTCTCATCCGATTCACTCGGACAATTTGATGATGCACATTTAGCTGTGAATGAAGTCATCATGACAATAACATGCACAAAACCTAAAGTTCTATATCTTAACTTCAGCAGTAACCATTTAACAATAGACGGGCGCAGCGCCGCCGCACTTCTTATTTACGTTGCTTTACCAGTCCCACCGTTCGTGTCAGACCAGCATGAAGGCATTCCGATCCGTCGCATCGCAACGGAAAACTTTAATGTAAAGTCTAACAAGTTGCGAGGGAGAAAGACTGACTCTCGCACAATCCGCAGGTCAGCGTTGCGAAATGTTTTTCCATCGACTCGTCAGTGGCCACTTCCAACTAGAGCTGACAGGGGTCAAGGAGAGTCACTATGGGTTCCTAGACTGTTATAAAAGATGGGATATCCATACCCACCTTTTCTTCGTGCCTCTTTCCTAGATATTTCATCTTTTTTTTGTGTATACTGCTCAACGAATCCCTTTTTTCAACCGATATTTTCCACACATCATGAAGTCTCTCTTCCTCCTACTCATCGCAATCCTTACAATCAGTGTCTCAGCTGTGCCGGCTGAACCACCAAAACAGCATCCCGGTGGTTCAGGATCACCCGATAGAGGTGTCGGAACTATTAAAGTCTGTGGAGCGGGTAAAGAGCAACACGGAGCGCTATGCTACGATAAGTGTCCCGACACACATTATCGTGTAGCATTGTGTACGTACCTTCTTCTTTTATTCAAACCCCGAAAATCAAAAGATATAAAATACTAACTTTTAAATTTAGCATGCTGGGAGAAATGTCGATCAGATGAAATAAACCATCCAGCTACTTGCTTCAAATCAATTATTAGCTGGCGTTGGAAGCACATGTACACTTTGCATGGTTCACTCCCGGAGGCCTGCCCTTCCGATAGAGTTTTGGAAGACGGTTTATGTTATAAACCTTGCAAACCAGATCACAAAGGTAAGATTTCCAATCGTTCCTGCAAAATCTCCGCAAAGAGAAAATATATTATTCTTTTCTTTCCACTCACACCACCGTTGTCTTCTGTTCTTAGGCATCGGCACCTTGTGTCACTATACAGGCAAATAGCCGCAAAGCAAAATAATCAACCTAGATTCATGTATCAAATAAACTTTAATTTTGTACACAATAAATTCTATTCTAATTAATCTTCAAGTTTCAGTCTATATCATAACTACCAAATGCACCCATACGACGAATTAGATTAAGTTTTTGTCCGGCTGATACAAACATTGTATTTGCCATTCGTCCACTTCATACTACGTACAGCACTGTATCAGACATAAATGGTCATTTATTTTGAAACATTTCTACTCGATTTGCCAAATGTTATAGAAGAAATGTGATTTTTTTAGTGCTCGTATACCTGTCTTAGAGGATGAATTCCACGGTGATAGTAATGAATGACACAACATAACATCAATATTGTTTCGCACAGCATCTTGATCAGTTATCATTTGACCGGCAACATAATGGAGCAGATTAGCGGTTATAATTTTTCCGAGAAAGTAACCGTTAATATCCAATATTGATAACACAATAGAAAAAACTGCTGATCGATAACTTGTGACGTTTAAGGTGGACTGCATTGTTTTTGTCAATCAAACGAAATACCAATTACAGTTCCAAGAAGCTCTATGCGTCGCGTTAAATGGCCGCGTGAGTATTCTTTACTTCGTGACTCAATTAAATATTTTCGTTTCAAGATAGTCTATTTTCAGCTTTCATTTGTAGCGGAACCATTTATAGAAATTCACTGTGAAATTGTATTGGTGAAAGTTGCATCCGTAGGAAGATTTCTTTCTTTCTTGATGAACCGTCGCGAAGGCTAATCATACCGAAAATGATTCATGGGTGCACCTCAGGAAATTTATGGGGTATAAAAGAAAGTGACATCCATCCGTTTTATTTCATCAAGCCTTTTCTGGTACTTTGATTTATTCAAACAAATATTTCTCAACCCGACACTTTAAACACAACAATCCAAACATCCGTAAAAATGAATCACATTATTCTTTTACTCGTTGCTGTCCTCGCCGTCGCCGCTTCAGCTTTACCACAAGAA